CCAATGGCCTGGCGACTGCCCAACCACATCGGGAGTCACTGACTCTGACATCACTGGCGCCATTTGAAAACGTCAAAGGTCAGACCCTGCGGAATGCGCCAGATTTATTTTCCTACGCGTTGATTTCCGAACTTCTATTAAGCGAAATGTGTGTTGTAGGATTTTAGGTTCTCACGGCTGTGAGTACGAAGATGGCTGTCTTCTGGGTTCATCAAAACCTGACGATGGAGGCTGCAAGTACCTCTGAAAAGCTGTAAACTTCTTCGAGATTACACGGAGCTGTAACCCAAAAGACAGCCATCTTTGAAATATGTGGTTTTGCAGAATAATTTATGTAGCTTTCGGGAAGTGTACGAATGCACATGAGTGTCCACTTGTAACACTACTCGTAACTGAGTCGCCATGACAGCAAATCTATTTCATTGTCGAAGTATGGAACACGTGGGATTTCACCTCCACTCCCACATACGCATTCGAGCCGTTGTCCTCAATCACAGGTGTGACAGACTTGGTCTTTACAAGATTGATTGAAATTATCTTAAATATTTTAACTTTATTTTATCTCATAGGCTGTATGTTTTCAGTACAACAGTCTGGCGATAGATGATCTGTATTTCTGTTGATTAACATTTCTGTGACGTCTGCGACAAATGTTTACGTGCTTCCAACATGTTATGACGACAGCTTGTCTTCGTCCAACTTGTGTGAGATTTTCATTAACACATTTCTCGGTGCAGCTGTCTTAGAGCTTAAAAAATCATTTTGCTGTTGTCCACAACCTGACATAGCACCATGGTGCTTATTCTATCACTCGCCTACTTCTGAATCTAGGTTACAAGGTCTGCTAACTAGTGCGAAAGACGAGGTTTTTCACGTAAAACTAGTTTCTCACTTGGCAAAATACTTCCGTTGACTTTAACTGGCTCATTAGGTAAAAATTCTTTAAATTAAGGTGAACTACCACTAAATTAACGTCAGTAACTTAATGAGTGTGTAGTTTTGCAATCATTTCCTTCATAATTACGAGCAGTTACATAAAATAGAGCTTAAATTTAACTTAATGTGGAGGATAAGATATTTTGAGACGAAAACTCGTATAAATGGCCGGTGGTCTGAGCTACGAACAACCAGGAGGGCTACGCCAGGTTATTGCAGGCTTTGCCATCAGCATATAAATGACGTGATATGTTTTCATCATATCGAAAATTCAGTATGCGTATCGATAAGGAGGCATTTAATATTTCAAACTCATTGATGGAGTAAGTCGTTAGGTCTAATTGGACGTTTGTAAAACGAGGAGTTGGTGTTTTGGGACTCTATAATAAATAAACAAAGAAGACAATGACATATTTAACCCCTCTAAAGCCCAGTGGTAAACTACACGATCCAGGTCCTTTAAAAGCCTGTATTTTGTGTTTATTTGAAAATTTGATTCTCGATGTAAATAGGAATTATTTACTTGAACATGCCAGTTTATCTTTGTAATGGTGAAGATCTGTGTTTCCTTTGCGGTACGGACTGAATTGTTAAACGTCACTTTGATGGCATTTGGTTTGAAAATTTTAAATTGTCACATCTGAATGTAACAGAGTACGTGGCCATGGACATTTTGGACAATATGTGGGTCTAAAGTGAACACAGAATATGAGGAATTTATTCGAGGAGCGTCGAAAATTTTCTCTTAAGCCAATGAAATTGGAATTGTTAAGCGAATGAAGAATAAACCGAACGTCGAAGTCGAGTGGTTAGCACTCCCGCTTCGTATCAAGGAGGTCCGGGCCCGATGACCGCTGTTCTGTGTTCTTCGTGGTCTTCCTCAACCCCTCCACACAAATTCCAGAATAATAATTAAGTTAAGCCACGACCAATTCTTTCTATATTCTTCGCAAGTCTGAACTAATAACAGGGCCACTGAATAAACCATAAAAAAAAAAATAAAGAAGGAAGAGACGGGTGGAACGTGTAGAAAGAAAATTCTCAGTGTCTGAACCAAGAATCAGAACTTGGACCGCACAGCACGTAGTCGGTTACTGAGCTGCTCCTAGTTGGACAGGCAGAACTTGGGAATCTAGGAGGCTCGCCGACACGGAGTGTGATAATATAACTTCAGAATACCATAACACAGTCATAATGACTCGCATGTCAGTGTGAACGAAGTGATTTACATAAGGCAATATTTTCCAAAAACTCGCTAATGCAGTGTTCTTCTCTTGGCACCTCCTCGTGTTTGGCTGATTGCAACGTACAGATGTACTACTGCTGACGTTTCAGCCCTCACCTTAGCGAAGGAAACAGTAAAGACCTCCGAAACATTAGCATTACAAGTTTTACGGCAGTTAGTATGTAGATGGCGCCGTGTACTCTGATAGAAATTTACAGACGTTTCAGAAGTCCTTGCTGCCCCCATTATCTGGAAAATGATCACGCCACACGCCCGGCTTACACGTCGCCCTGATGATGGAGGCAGCAAGCACAGTAACCATATGATCTTTTTAATGGCGAACTTCTGTGTTTTCTTTGAGGTACGGACTGAATTCTTAAATATTATTCACACGAACTTCGGCGTCAGAGGGCTGATTGAGTGACTAAGACATTTTAATAACAGAATCAGAACAAATGCACACTTGTACTTGAACGGATCTGCTAGCCTCGAACATTAGATTCTAGGGTTCAAACCCCGCCCGAACTATAGTTCTCTGTAGTTTCGTTTCCAGATGGAGGCCTTGCGATTGTGTTAACCCGTGTTAACTGCTGATATGAATAATGGTTTAGATTACATTCAGGAGCCGAATCGAGATCTGTCACAAAAGCAGAAACCGCCCAACTCCACGGGGCGGATATTCGATATTGAGACGATCAACTGGCCAAGAACCCGCAGGTTTAATATGGTTGTCAGAAGATCCCGCCACTCGATCCAGTCCACGCCTTATTTAATTGAGATCCACTTTAATATTATCTCCAATCTACGCCTAGGTCACGGGTGATCTCTTCCTTTCAAGTTTTTAAACTCTTTTCATGTTACGTCTCGTCTTATATGCTGTATGTTCTGTCTTTCTAATCCTCCTTGGTTCATCACCATAAAAATATTTGGTGAAAAGTAAGTTATGAATTAGGATGCTAATCGTATAAAATGTGATTTCTTGGGCCTAAAGGAGAGGGGGATACGAAGAATGACATCAGATGACGCCAAGATCGAATATAAATTTTATAGTATAAGGGTATTAAGCTATATACAGTGGAATTATTATTATTATCATCATTATCATCATCATCATCATCATATTCGTCATTATTGTTGTTTTGACTGGACGAGATTAAGTCTCTGTGGAAATGGATCTCTAACGGTTCCATTGCCCGTCCCCCAGGTGATACGTGAGTGAATACACAGCAAAACCAAAGGACTTGGAGAAAAACTTTCTCCGGTGTCACTTTGTCCGTCAAAAACCCCACCTGAGCGTTAACTCGGGGCCCTCCGCGGTCAGAATCCAGCGACTGAAACTTGAGCTACTCGTATGCTACAAGCCAAGGCTGTGGTTAGCGATTGCTATCTTCGTCAGAGCAAAGGCAACATCAAATCGCCCGTCAGACGATTTCAGCAGAAAATTCGATTCAGTTCGATACTGAACAGATCACGAACAACAGAAAAACGCTTTGCGTTTGTCCAGGTTGCGACTGTCTGAGAGAACGGCGCTTAGACGGCTGGCTACAACGCACCCAACCCTACACAGCAGAAGCATTATTGATAACCTGGCGTTCGCTCAGCTGGTCATAAAATGTCCCTGCCTTCTTTGAAATCCGTAGGGTCATCACCGTATTCAAAACAGCCTGCCAGTGGACCCTATTCTGAAATAAATATGATAAGAATTTGTGGATTGGATTCATCTGGCTCAGGGCAGGGATCAGTACCGGGTATTTGTGACCGTTTTTATAGAACCCGGAAAGTTAATTTCCGGGTTCTATAAAAACGGTGGATTGCTAGACCAGTTACACTAACATGACCTGCTCAAGAAAGACAGCTGTAGAATTAGTTTATGTACGAAGGATGTTTAATTTCAGACGCAACTCCTAACTACAATAAAATTTTCGAGCTTTGGTGACATCGATATGACAGGACAAGTGGGTTGATTTTTAGTTCTTATTGGTTGGAAAGAAAAAAACTTACAGAAGACATTCTCGAAGACTAGCATCCACCGTTTTCAGCGTGTTTCGTTCGAATTTTAGAAATGCTTCAGGATTAGTTTTGTCAAAAGGCTGTTCAGAAGCGTGTTACAGTTCTTCCAAACCTGTCCCTTTTTGAAGTTCGTATAGAAAGAAGCCTAGCGGGATAAGGTCTGGAGATCGGGGTGGCCAGATGCCATGCCTAACAATGCGCTCATCAACAAAATCTTCCAGTAAAGCAGTTATGTTGGCAGTGTGGAACGTCACTTCATCATGATGAAACCAACAGTTTTCCTGTTGAAATCACTTCCTGGTTCCAGAAATTTTGTTTGTTAGTCGATGTATTTCTGTCTTTCTCAGTATTTTCCTGCCAAGATAGGAATTGATAAGTGCTTTAAGAACTGTAGCGAACGATTTCGATGCGAAGTAATGTTTGGAAATAAACAAAGTTTTTGCACCTGCACAGCATTTCCATAGCTGGCGTTCGCAGCGACCTAGCAACTAGAATAACGTTCGCTGGAATGTCACGGGGGAGGTTGGGTGAATCAGAGTTTTATTTTATTTTATTTTCGTATCGTAGTGCGTGATTGTTGTTGGGTTTCGTTTTAAATGGTTCATCCTGTAGAACGCGTTTGAATTCAAGGCGTCCACGGCGCACAGGTTTATGACCTAACCTGACCTAACCTAGCGTAACCTAACTTAACGTAATGTAACCTAACCTACCCCAACCTAACCTAACCTAACCTAACCTAACCTAACCTAACCTGACCTAACCTAGCGTAACCTAACCTACCCCAACCTAACCTAACCTAACCTCAGACAGCAGACTGACCACAACTTACCGGAAAGGTAGACTTTCTGCAAGGCCGGAGGGCTTTCTAGCGCGCTCTGTTCAAGCTGACTCAAGCTGTTGTTTCGCAGATCCAAAACTCGGAGTTTCTTCAGTTCAGAGAACGTCGAATCAGCAATCCAGTTCAGTCTCAAACCAGACATGTTAAGCACCTGTTGAAAAGGATGTCTTAGTCTTTATACCATCTTCAGTCTTTACCAAATAATGTTAGGGCGATAAAGTAAAATAGGTAACAATAGAATGGGAATGTAGCATGCATGTAAGATAAGATAAATTCTTTAAAAATGATTAAATAAAATTCTTAAGTGAAATACCACTTGGGAGATCTGGGTGTAGAGAGGATAATATTAAAATGTAAGTTATAAGTAAGGCTGTGGGCTGATTCAGTTGGTACTGGATATGAATCAGTGACACGTTTTTATTAACACGGTAAATGTATTTTTCTCTAGAAACGGCAAGAAATCTCTTGACGGTCGACTGAAAGCGACTATCAGCTTCTCAAGACGGACTCTGCCTCAAGATGTTAGTGATTTGTGTTAGCAGTGGGGTGAATTCTGTGTCGGAAACGCCAGTCATTTTCATAAAGACACAGACGCACTGTTTTCGTCACGTGACAAAGTTTGAATGTGCGCCTTTAAACTTAACATGCAGTGAGAAAAATCTGATCTCCGGACTCCACAAGGAGAAAACCGTGGTTTATACGTGCATATGTGGTCTTGAAAGGTTGTTAATCTCCCTCTGAGAAATTCCCGTAGGACCAGGGTTTAACTCCCATTGCGCCAGTTTCGATCCATTGAAACAGCAGTCGCGTAGAGCCGTTAAGAAGCGGTTACCCGGATTTCAAAATGGACTGAGAAACTAACAAATGAATTGTTTGTTACTAAATGTTGAACAGGGCCTACTACTTGGATGCATTGCTTGGAATTTGGCAAGAGACTACCTGGGATGATAACATTAAGATAGATCTTAAAGACGTATGCTGTGAGGGTGTGGCCGAGTTTATCTGATTTAGGACAGGATACGTGTTTCAGTATGGAGTGGATTGAGAAGGCTGTGGATGCGGTCCGTAGCGAGTTCTAAGTCGGTTATGTTGTACTGAATACAGTATCAGAGTGTTACTGACACTATAATAAAAGGAACTGTAGTGTTATTGACTGACAGTAGGAACACAGAAACAGAACCAGTTAAGTTGTAGCACCAGGCCTGGGTTACCGCGACGTGCACTGTAGAGTTATTTCATCTGGATACTCAATTCCATGGAACTGTTGTGGTTACATTATTCACTTACAACTCAGCATTGTATCTTGTATCTTTAAACGATGCGGATTTAGGATTATCGCAGAGAGCGAGAGGGCTGGCTCGCGGTGAGCCTATACTGACAACGAAACTCCATTAACAGGCAGCTCCAGGATTGTTTCATTGGTAGGACCAGTGAGTGACGATGGAGTTTCTCGTTGTGTTCCACGCAAAGAAAAGTACCTACAAGTTCTAAACTGCAGCAGAAGTTTATCAACACCTGAAACAGTCGCCTGACTTTATAACTCCATGGAGCGGAGTACAGTTTAAGTAATTCAGCTAGTCTGGAAATCCGTTGCCTTTTGTGGGACCTGGAGATTCAATGCAGTGTTCATAAGAGCTCGTCACTAGTCCATATCATGACCCTGAGGACTCCAGTCCACATCGTCACTTCCTATTTCTGTAGGGTTCATTTTAGTACGCTTCAGAAGATGGCTGTCTTTTGGGTTGTAGTGCCGTGTAGTCTGATGATAGAGGCAGCATGGGCCGCTGAAACGTTGGTAAAATTCTACCAGACTACATGGTGCTCTAACCCAGAAGACAGCCATCTTCGGACTGACCGCCATGAGAACCTCGGATCCTACTTAAATGAAATTGTAATATGGACTGTACGCAACTGGTAGCAGTCAATATTACCTGCAGTTGCTTCAAGTCACTGCTGAAGGCCTTGAGCCGGGTCACTTCGCTGTCCTGAAGAGTCAGATTCCTCAACTCCGGGAACCGATGTTCGATGATCGTTGGGTCGAAAGTGGAATTCGGCCACCGGCACAGAGTGATCACGTGGACTTGTCGTCTGGAACACGTCATCGGACAAACAACTTAACACTTTCCACCGACACACTGGCGTCTAACCGTCAGATCTATTACACAGCCATGTATCAATTACCGATGTTATTTTCATTCGATAATATAAATAAGTACAGCAAATGTACGCATGTGGTAACAATTCTTGCGACCTTGCTTGAATTTTGAATTTTGACCTTTATGAATGGCTCCAGTAACGTCAAGGGTGTGGAAAGGGTAATTACCTTTTTGCGTGTGTGCCTAAGAGATAAGGTCATCAGGTGGATTCCTCCATGGCCGCACGCCTACCTGGTGACTCCTTCACAATCACCTCACACAAACGCAAGCAGACTTTCGTGTGAAGTGTCTGATATTGTTGTCAGGGTTTTATAAACAAATAATATTTCGATAAAATTTAGTAAAACTCTTCAATATCAAATTTCATGAAAGTCTGTTGTCAAGTTCCCGATTTATTACTTGCAGACAAACAGATAGACATGACTGAATACCACATTGTGTTTAGTCACCGTGGTACCTTAAAGTCTCTTAAAGGGTGCAGATGCTTAACACGTAGGATTCAGCGGTGGGCTATTGTGTTAACACGGTAATGAACATTCGGTAACCATTAAAAGCAAAGTCCTAAATCGACTACAATAAATTCAATTGTGTCCTTTTTGCTTGAACACATATGGAATTTACTTATTAATATCAACAGGCGGAAACAATAAATACATCTTCATTCTTTTAGTATATCACCTCTGTGCCCCACCTTCGCTACCAGGAATATCAAAATAAAATTCATTTTGTATAATAAATATTGATCAGACTTCCTCAGACGCTACTTTAAGAAATTAAAACATAAGAGCTGTAATTTTACCTTTTGTTTTGTATGGGTTTGAAACTTGGTGAATCATCCTAAGGAAAAAATACAGATTTAGGGTTTTAAGACCAAAATGACGATGATAAGATGTGGAGGTTTGAGATGGAAGGCATCATGAGAACGGAGAAAAATTCACATTGAGGAGCTACATGATTTAATTTCACTATAATTCATAAAACTAGGTTAAGAAAATCATGGAGTATGAGATGGGCAGTCCGTTTAGCACGGTTGGTAGAAATGAGCAATGCATACAGAACTCTAGTTGTAAATACTGAAGGTAAGAGACCACACGAGACCCCACAAATGGGTTCAATTAATGTTAAAACTAATCTTATAAATTTTAGTTTCATGGCATGAACTAGATTCATCTGGTTCAGGGCAGGGTCGAGTGATGGGGTCTTCTTATAAACATGGTAATGACCTTCGGACACCATAAAATATGTAAAATTTATTGAAAAGCTATGCAACTATTAGTTTCTCTACAAACGTCGAGTTTACAATCGCCTAGCTCATGGCTCGAAATTTTGTAAGATTTCCGTCGCCATTTGAACGGAAAATGTTTCCTGTTGTCTGTAAAACGAGGAAGCCGCAGGTCCACGCTTCGTGAACGTGTTAGTGTAAAACAACTACGCTATCTAGCACCCGAAATCAATAGCGATTATTTCGAATATCTGGCAAACAGGCGCGATTGTATCGAACACAAAGCGAGATGTGAGTCCAGCTATGAACGTTACGTACAGAAGTATTGGAATTAAATTCTAATATTCACAATAGTTTATTCCTCTGAACACTTTGTTCTTCATGCGAATGATATTTTCTCAAAATAATAAACCGCATTTCACGACAAAAAAACAATTATTTAAAATCAGTGGTAACTATGTATACCACTCGCGTTTACGTTTATATATCTACATGTATCTCCAATGTTTATGGGTATAATTTGGTTCTCATAATGAAGGAAAAAATTTTGCCGAAGATTATAAAATATTTACATTTGTAATGGTAATAAGGTGTGTCATGCTGGAAGTATAGTCAGAGACTGGTAAGTTTGTCCCTTAAAGGATCAGGGCGATGAAGGACGTTGCGTACGAGGGGGTTGACTACAGGTTGCAACCAACGTGACTATTATCATGCCTATTCTCCGAAGGACTTAAGACCTGGATCAAATGAATCTGTGGTAATTCTACAAAGACTGGTGTTTAGATGAGTTTCGCACTTTGAAGGGTTCATATCTAGTAAGCTATAAATTAAGACTGGGCAGTCATAGGTTTTAAACTGAATAATACAAAGGGTTTTCAGAATATTTAATATTCTCTTATTTTATCATAAACTTGCTATTTTATTGTATTACTTCTCTCAGACATTTCAGTTTTTAACAATTTCGAATGATTTATTACATTAGGTGTATATTACTGTTCTGTTATACAGTCCCCCTACCCCAGGAGGCCATATTCTTGTAGCTATAAACTAAACGAATTTTTTGGTAGTTTGTAAAATTATATCTGCTTTTTTCCATGAATAATAATAACTAACCTAAACAAAGTTAATCATAAACTAAACATCAGAATAAAGCGACAAAATACCTGTTACCCTTTAGTTCAGAATATTTCATCTTCTGACTGTTATTTTATTTAGATGCAGTATCTGCTCTCGTGTTTACGGAAAATTAAGGATTAAACGTTAGATAATTTCGTATTAAAATTCTGTGGAGAACACGTTGGCTTTCGAAGATAAAATAGTCGCAGAAGGAGAAACATTTTTTGTAACATAAAACATGAACTGACGTTGACTGATAACAGCATCCTAGAATATCTGAATGAAAGTTAAGGGATATGTAAGGAAACTTGTGTAATGATGAACGTCATGAATGTGTGTTCTAGGTTGTGACTCCGTGTAGACTTGGAGGTCGTTATCCGCGTTTCAGAAAAACCTGTCGCCTCCATCCTCAAGGGAAAATATGTATACTAGTGTTTCCTCCCTAATTTCGGTATAACCACACACAAACCTAAACGACATCACAGCCCAAGGAACCACATTCGAAATTTTCATTTCAGTGCGAACGTTGAATCACGTTTGAAGTGTTTCATAATTTAGGGACCTGCTATATTTCAGAGTGATCAAATCAAGGACTATATGGACGGGACATGTAGCATGCATGTTATATATAAATTAATTATTACTTTTAATCTGAACACCCGAAAGCGACTACTTGGGAGACCTAAGCGTAGAAAAGAAACTTCGTGTTGCATAAGAAGGAGATGTCCGATACTTATCGAATGTGTCGGAGAGTCGTGTATTTTAGGTGGAGATGAATAGCGAGATTTCGACTTTACGCTCGTTGTGTGAAACATTCCAACTTTTGGCTCCACGGGACCTGTTAAAGGAGAACGTTAATGAGCCACACATCCTGCAACCCATTTAACGAGTTCCTGACGTTTTCTCTTTCCATTCGCGTTCATTCTGGGATTTGCACTTTTCAGTAGTCAGACCTTTGAAATGTGAAGCTATAAATTCAGAACGACAGAATGTTCCCCTTTGTTCCCAGGAAACAGATGCCCTCTTTTATCACAAGGTTTAAACAATTTAAGCTTAAATTTGGCTGTTAGGAGTAAAATAGGTTATACTAAGAATTATAAAAATAGCGACTTGTCCCAGAGAGCAATTTCACACCTTCGTAAATATTAACGTGCTTTATCCATGGAAATTAAACGGATAGAAGCCCCAAACAAATACAGATTTTTTACAAGTGTTGTAGAATTCGTGACGTAACTGTTACTTATGAAGTTTACACCCAAAGAACTTCAATAGCAAAATATCAAAGAGTATTTTGATAGGACATTCTCCACAGAACAAATCTACCGACTGCTTATAGTCACCTCAGCGGCTCGGCACATAATCACAATTCAAGATTTTGTTAGTGAAACTTTAATTATAACCTTAATACAATGTTTAGTAGGAAAACAACGCATGCATTAATTTTAAAAGTTCGTGACGATAGTGCTTTATTGAAGTAAAGACTTTTCTGGATATTTTCCATCTTCGAATAAATAAAATCATAAAATCCACGACGTTTCGGAGATGATACTTTATCACCGTCCTCAGTAAGATAGAGTCCAATCTCTAAAACGTCGTGGATTTTATGATTTTATTTATTAGACGATGTAAAATATTCAGAAAATTCTTTATATCACCGCATGCATTAGTTTTAAACATCCAAATCACAACATGGAACTGTGACTCTATAGACCATACCAGTGGAAGATTTTATCATATTTTAATCTTTAATCAAGATATTAACTTAATTAACTACATCTAATTACACAACATTGTTCATAAACTCGATGATAATGTTCGTAGATTTATATATCCAGCGAAAATGTTTGAGGTTTTGAAATATCCAGTGCTTTTAAAATTATTATTTTAAGATACATTTGGATTATAATAGAGTGAGTTGCAGAAATAGGGACCGCAGTATATACCATATAAGTCCGAAACATGTAGCCCAATAATTTACACGGTGAATGTAGTAAAGTGAATCCACGTTCTGTAATATTTAATCGTATCCATAACATGACGCTGCAATATAACCTTAGGATTTCTGTACATAAAGAAACAAAAATCATGTCAAATGCTTTCTTAATTTCATGCAGGGTACTCTGGAGAAGCCCACGGTGATTCAACTAGTAAAGAATTTCTCCGCAATTCTTAAAAACCAAAAGTTCATTACCGTGATCAAAATATCCTGCCACTATATCCTTTCCTTAACCACGTACTCCGAACCCTCATGCTATATTTCTTTAACATCAATTTTAATATTATCCCACCATCTATGATACATTTATATTAGAACTTCATAAATAGAGAATAAAGTTAAAATAACTCAACAACATTTATTATTAAACCTCAGCAGTATAATCTATTTCATGTAAACCAATTAAAATATTTAATCATGGAATCTGTATACGGATTTTTAAAACCGACCTCCACATTATAAATTAATTTAATCTGTTCCGAACAAAGAATTCACAAAATCCTAGTGTTATTATAAACTTATCTGTTTCATACGACATTCAGTCATCCACTTCCAGTCGCCGTGTTTGCTCTGCAGAAGTTTGCCGTGTAAAAACTAAGTCTGCAGTTCGCATCGTGACTGGGAGGTTGTACTTAACTGTCGTGAGTAACATCCTACGTTTCGTTGTCTTGGCAACGTTCTTTTTGTGTAACAGCAAATTATTGGAGCGTTAGTATATCCGTTGAATCGAAATGCTTTTGACAATGAACTGTTACGGAATTCAGGCTTGTAATTTCCGTTGCAGATCCCAAGTCTTTGATCTCAGAGAAACAAGGACAAATGTTACGTGACAGTTTCCAAAAGAGATATTGTTCCGTTAATTTTTTTAAAAAAGTTAAATACATTGAATGTAATTAATGAAATTATTTTCTTCAATAACGAGTTCTTCAAAAAAAATTTGCTTATATATGACATTTTACAGGAGTATAATTTTTGGTGTAATGGTCCAAATTCTTCCCACGTATCTGGAAAATGCCCTACTTGAATCCTTTTCAGATTTCCATTAATTTTCTCAGGCTCTCCTATCAATTGTAGCCTCAGAAGTAAAATATACAATTCACAATCTACAGTTTACCGTTCGTCATTATAAAGAATCTGTACGTGATTCAGCATCATTAAATAAACTAAAGAACACTTCATTACATCGCAGAATCAAAAGAAAATTTCTTGACGACGTAGTCCGTTTTACTTCAGGTGAGATTTCTTGTGGACAAATTAGAACTACGATAGCTTTTCATTGGACCGCTTCGTATATCAGTTATAATAATATAGACGGTCCATAAACATTAGATGTGCGCAAACGCGACCTGCCGACATGTTATCATAACCTTACCCGTGACTTGATCGGAATCATAGTGAGAACGAAGTTCGCTTCTACAGGAAGTACCATTTAAAACTCATCACTAGCTACAAGACCATTTGTACGCTTTGTTGACAACAATATAATGAGACAAACCAGTTACTTCCAGTTCTTATTTGTTAGGTTATGTTAGGTTAGGTTAGTTTAGGTTAGGTTAGGTTAGGTTAGATTAGGTTAGGTTGGGTTAGGTTAGCATAACAGCTTCTCAGCACGTTCTGAAATTAACACCGGCCGAAGTTAGACATTTTTCCTATACCAAAACACTTCATGTGCTCCGAGATTTTTTATCACTCGGTGTACTGTCATCGGATAATCATCTTACGCACGGCTTAAGAGCTTCACGAAGACCAACACTGGATCTTGATGCGAATTAATGTTCGAGAATAAACACATGTCGAACTCGTGAATACAGAATACACGATGAAGATGGCTGTCTTCTCCCTGATGATGTCGGTAGAAAGTACAGCCGAAACTGGTAAACTTATAAAAGACTACATGGCGCTACAGCCCAGAAGACAGCCATCTTCAGACTCACCGCCGTCAAAACCTCAAATCCTACTTAGACTACGCCATTTTCGCACCTGCACAGCTTTTGTGCAACTGGCGTGGGCAGCGGCCTAGCAGCTAGGTTGACCTTGACTCGTGTCACGGGGAGGTCGGGAGAGTCTATTACATGGGGCCGGACCTCCTCTTGCTTTAATTTTTGTACCGTAGTGATTGTTTTGGGGTTGAATTTTTAAATGGTGCAGCCTGTAGCGACAAAATATTTTGGGGAATATTCTCAACTCGTTTTAACTAATACATAATAAGATTAGAGAATACAGTCATCCGTAAGATTGTATATGTTTTACATGGTAATGTCTATTGGGTACGTTTGTTGATTTTTTAAATAATAGGACAGTGCTTGAAGCTGGATTTTAACTAAAGACAAACGGGCAATCCATCAGTTTGAAGCTGTTTGTTTGTATATTTGAGTGATAAAGATAAAACTGTAAATCAAAAGCATTAATAAAACCTCCGAACCAACTCTTCATTACGGTTAGACATATGACAATCACTGCTCATTGCTCACAGTGCACACACGTCACATTGAATAATGACCTACGTTATATGGCCATTTCATTCCACGCCCACTAAATCATCATTAAAAGCCTCCTTTCTTTACTTCATTTACATAGTTTTATAGGACGTCTACCAACGTGAATTACGTTTTTCCACAGCTGTAACATTAGTGGGAAACTTTAAACACAGAATTATTTAAATGAATCCATGTATCACATATCTTGGAAAACTGAGAATAGTTGGCTCTTTATGGGCCCCGAGGGTTCAGCGCCGTATTAACATCATGTTAAGATCAGGCCCGCGAAATGTGAAGTTCCTCTGTCTGCATCTTCGAGTTCCTTCGACTCTTGGGTACAGATATCTTCCTCCACGCCCTCTTCTATCATTATCGTGTTGTGAACAAAGGTTTCGCTGCAGTTTGAGTTTATTGACACTAGATTTAAATTTTAATTGTGGTATATTATAATACAGTCCACCTACAGATTTGATTACAGAAACATTTTTTGTGTAAAAGAACAAGATAATTAATTTAGGTTATTGAGCATACCATATAATTAAATTATGTTATGGTATATACTCTTTATTACTGAAGACATACACACAACAGAATGCAACCTTTTAAGATTACACGATATTTCTTTAAAATTTTAAATCTTATCGTAAAAATATTTATAAAACTTTGCCGTCAGAATTCATAACCTCTTGTTGTAATGATCTTTTTATCGTCTGACATATTCGTTGACATTGACAGTCGAATTTTAAAACGTATTAAATAGTTTCTAAATACGTCAACTTTAACAATATTTTTTGTCGATGTAACGAAGTACGCTGGATTGAATGAAGTGGTAATTTGCAGTGACGTAACAAATTTTGACACCTTGTACAACAGGTCCATTAAGTTTCATTCTTATAAATGCAATGCAAAACTGTTTGCTACGAATAGTAGTTGGAAATAACAGCAAAGTACATAAATTGTGAATATTTAATTCAATTCACGGAAAGAGCAAATGGCGATAATATTGAATGCTTATAACAGGAACTATCTTAAATTTAAATAATCAAGCAAACTAATATTTTTCTTCAAGTCATTGGTGACAGGTAGATCAGTAGAGTGATATATGCTTTAGGATATTTGCAGATAAAACTTAAAACCCTATCAACAGAACCCATGCAAATAAACTATGTACATAAGCAAACTCCGCATGTAATTATCTCTACCTATATCACTATTATGACCACAAATATCACGACCTAAGCCCTCGCCCTGTTAGCTCTACAAGGATTACAATTTATTTATTTAGGTAGTTTTTAAAATTGTCTAGATATATGTTTCGACACACTTGTGTTCTACTGCGTATTATTTCAAGTTAGTTTTTAGTATCTTCAATACGTTTATGATCAAAAATTCCCCTTGCATATGCTTTCAACCATAAACGCATTAAATTACAATATATAATGAGAGTCTAGACAGAATGTAGACGCCGATAAAACTAAGCACATTTCCGTAACATCTTTTTCAGAATTCAGGACAAAATAAAAAAATTACAGATTACATGTTGCCTTAATATCTAAAGATAAAAATGAAACAAAGTCCGTCTTCAGGTTCCTACTCAGTTGGGCCCACTAGATAGAGCTAATCCCTATCTCCGGACCTTGAATAAAAAATTTCTTGGATATTATCCATCGTCTAGTAAATATGAAACGTAAAACGACGTTTCGGAGATAGGGATTAGCTCTATCTAGTGGGCCCAACTGTGTAGGAACCTGAAGACGGAGATAGAGTCCCATCTCCGAAACGTCGTTTTACGTTTTATATTTACTAGACGATGGATAATATCCAAGAAAATGTTTATTCAATTGAAACAAAGTATACTGTAACTTTTATCTACTGTGTTTATGGGCGTGAACTTGTTCCGTCACATTAACCCTTTAAACCATAATGATAAATATATGCACTACCAGCGTCATCGTTCAACAAATTTGCTTTTTTTTTCACTTCTCGAAACAGTGAAGTGTTGTGTTTTCTTCGCGGTACGGACTCAATTCTTAAATGTTACTTAGACTTAAAAGGCTTCGAAGTGTTGACGGAAAAACAATTATTGAAGGTTATAACGTTTTGTAGCAAAGTTCTGTGGAGAATTGTCGGACCAAAGAGAGAAAATTACTTAATGAGAAGCTGCAAAATTTGTGGTCTTCACGAAATACTATAAACGTCACAAGGTCAAGGGAGATGAGGTTGGCGGCAAGGAGCTTGTACCGCGGATGGAAGAAATGAGAGATACGCACAGAGTTTTAGTTGGCAATCCGAGAAAAAAGACGCCATTTTTAAGAAATATTCGTAGAAGGGAGGATGATATTAAAGTGAATCTCAAGGAAAAAAGTTACAATGTATGGATTGGATTCCTGTTGGTATGGATACAAAATCTTCATTTCCCATACAAGACATGGAATTTATTCACCAGCGTAGGGACTATTTGCTTCTAAAAAAAACTGTGCACCACGGTGTGAGGCGTTCCAACATCGACGCTAGATGGGCTTGTTGACTACCTGAATGATTCTCGTGTTACCTTGTACCCGTCTGAAATTTTCCGTGGAGACCTCCCGAGCACGTGACTCTCAAGCTCTTTGACGTATCCAAGGAGTAGCGTTTGCATTTCATCTCTGACGGACATGACATCACAGCAATCATCATCCAACCAAAGAACACGATGCATCTGCAACACGGAGAAACAGCCAGTCACAATTAAGATTAATGTTATCGCTGTTTGTGAGTCATGCAAAAAAATATGTAGGCTTTTATTGCAAATGACAATTTTTAATATTCGACGCGGCTCATTCCCGAAGGCCGAAGTTTTACACAGTTCGAGGGTGCATGAGGAAAATATTTTGACGTAAGAGACAGAAAGTACGATTGGTAAACTTCATAATGAGCATCTTCGTAATGTGCAATTCTTATACTACGTCGATGAAATCAAGGTTTATTAAATTAACCGGGTTTCAGACACGCATCGTACCTTCTATATGTCATTCCTTTATACTGCATTTGGCTTATACAGCGTGTTCCATTTAAGACGCAACCATGACTGTAACGTTTGATGACATAAATGCAAGACCATTTTTTCTTTTAGTTTTTATTTGTTAGTAAGAACTTACACGGCATCTTTACAGCAGATATTGCCTGTCATAAATACTTCCTGTGTCTCTAAATTTTGTTACCAGTGGGTGTACTGCTGTTTTATTCTGTATTTCCTCGTCATTGGTGAATGCTTCACGAACCAATGAAGGAGACTTCGATGCAAATTAACGTTCGAGAACACGCGTTCTGCTCGTTAATACGCCATGTTCGCACCTGCACAGTTTTTGCGCAACTAGGGTGAGAAGCGGTTTAGGATCCAAGTTGATCTAACTCGGCTTTCACGAAGAAACTTAAGAGAATTTATCACATGGGATGGACCTGGGCCTTGATTTCATTTTTGTACTACAGCACGTAACTGTCCTTGCGTTCGTTTTAAATGGTACAGTCTGCACGACAGTAAAAGGGGAAAGTTAACATCCATGAGAACGTGTGTCGACCTAGGTTTGCAGTAATTTATAACTTGGCAGACTCGTGCGACGGAGTACAAAGAATCATCAGGAAAATACGTCAAGTTACAAAATGTCGATGTTGGTATTCTGGTCTTGTAGATAGATACCAAAGTTTCAGATGATTCCACTTAAAGTCCGCATTGTGTCACTAGACAAAAGACCAACACTGACATATTCACCGCCACGAGGACCTGGATGTCACTAGTTACGAAATACACGCATAGCGTTTGCCGTCAGCGCTTCTAGATGTTCACTTGTCAATGCAAGCCTCTGATGATCCTTACAAAAATCGTAAAGCAGGCCGGCGCAGGAGCGTACAGAAAGAACTGGACCTTCTGCTCACATATTTCGTGGCTTACGAATCCATAGTTTGGCTTCTTATAAGCGTCCCTTCTACTGCGCTAATCTTTAGAAAGTTTGAAATGGTTTCACACATTTCTGTGAAGATTTCCAGCGTTGAATTTGATGAACCCCGGTCTATTTATTCCTCCTCGACACATTAAATTTCGAAACACAAAAATCATCGCCCTGATGACGGAGGCAGTATGACCTCTGAAACGTTGGTTAACATCTACCAGACTACACAGCGCAACACCCCAGAAGACAGAAATCTTCATACTCTGATGACGGAGGCAGTATGACCTCTGAAACGTTGGTTAACATCTACCAGACTACACAGCGCAACACCCCAGAAGACAGAAATCTTCATACTCTGATGACGGAGGCAGTATGACCTCTGAAACGTTGGTTAACATCTACCAGACTACACAGCGCAACACCCCAGAAGACAGAAATCTTCATACTCTGATGACGGAGGCAGTATGACCTCTGAAACGTTGGTTAACATCTACCAGACTACACAGCGCAACACCCCAGAAGACAGAAATCTTCATACTCTGATGACGGAGGCAGTATGACCTCCGAAACGTTGGTAAACATCTACCATAATACACGGCACAACAACCCAGAAATATTCCTTAACACAAAAATTAATTTTATTTGCTTAACTCGAACAGAAGGACATGAAAGCTGCTGCTTCTTCTTCTTCTTCTTCTTCTTCTTCTCCCCTCCAGTTTTCTCTAGAGCGTTTGCTCGACAAATCTCAGTTCCGGGAAGTATTTATGGAGTTACGCTTGAGAAGCACAGAACCTCGTGAACGTCTTCGTTTGAAATGTCCGTCATTTCTGCTTGTTCTTAAACACAATTGGAATGCGTTTACAAGAGATGATGAAACTCGCCATGTCTCAAGTTGTTACGTGTTAGGACAGACAGACATGGCGAAGTTAGTGGACGCATTTTTGCAACTTGTCAAAAAGGAATAAAATGTAAAACAGAAGAGAGAGAAAGATAGAAACGGGGTTATATCTGCCGACAAAGAAGTCGAAAACTAGGTCAATGTAGCATGACGTCACTAAGACGTAGTGTGTTAAGAAAGAACATCAAGTGGCAGGTGCAAGAGGTGAAGTTTGAAGGATAATCAGCAGCTGAAGTCTTGAGTTCCATGCCTGAAATAAATCCTGAGTGCGAATTTCTGGAACAGCAAAAGAACTATCAAATGCTCGCGAGCAACCATACATAGGAAGTTTCTTGTGGCAACAAACACGTTGTTAAAACAGTAACAAATACAGGAAAGAACAACAGCAAATAATAACAATTCAGTTCATTTTTAATAGAGTTCTGCATCCAGAAAGCCAATTACAGATACAGCACAAAGAAAATAAAGTAAATACAGTAATCATATAATAATAATAATAATAACGTTCCTAGCAACAGACAGGTTAATAATTAAAACAGAGCAAAAAATAACAATTATTTATAAATGAAGCAATGCCATCTACTTTAGGATATGCCTAAGAGTAAGCAAATGGTTACTAAAGATGTCAAAGTCATTGCAAAGATTATTCGCAGCTGATGCGCATCTAGCAGATGGACAACTTTTGCATGCGGGGCCAACAGTAAAAAGAGAGAAATCTCTAAAATTGCGAAATGGGACACGCACACCAACAGTCTCGAGTAAGGAGGGACAGAATTTATATCGGTCATACACGTTAATAAGAAAGATGGCGTCTAGGTAACTCCTCCTACTGCCAAGAGTGTGAAAATGTAGGTTTTCTAAGGCATTGGCGTAGTGATAACGGACATGAGGAAAGAAACGAGTGTAACACGAGGTTAAGAACTTGCTCTGTATGCGTTCGAGCTTACAAGTGTCAGCAGCAGTTAAAGAATTCCATGTAACTGATGCATATTTAAGCTTAGATCTTACTAGACTAAAATATAACATATAAAGACTGTCCAAAGTTGAAAAA